TATGACTAACTCCGTTTCTCCTCCACCATGGTCTGAAAGATGAATTTGGACACCCAGCCTCACATCTATTTATGTAGGCTGTTTGACACAAAGGTCTCTGTTTTTATCTTTGGAAGTAGAGATCTCAGGTTCCTGACAGTGGTAACCTGTGATCAGTTTGAGAACATCTGTAACATAATGACTCAGTAGTCACAAAGCCTTGGCTTTGTAGAGTCTTAGTGTTGGATTTTATTTTGCTCAGGGTTTTGGAATCAGTATAATTACATAGTCTTAACAATTTTCTAAGTTCATTGATGTAGCAATTGCTTATTTATTTTGTAGCAGGGACCACTTTTTAATCTTGCCTGTTTGATTACCTCTCTAGTTGCACAGTGAAGTACATCTCTGATGCTATGTTCTCCCTGCTCCTCATCTTAGAAATATTTTGCTCTTACTACATGAATATTTCCTCACTCTGAGAACTCCATTAATGGTTGGTAGTATAAAGTGTGTATGTGTGTCTCCCAACTGTTTTTCTCCCATTTGTTTGCTTATTTTATGTATGATGCATTAGAGTATATATTGGTTCAGCTTTATCCCTTTATGAAAATTTATTTCAGAGAGTGAAGTAGAGCCTCTGATGTTCACAGTGGTCCCCAGTATGCTGAATACCATTTATAGCATGAGAATCTGGGGCATTATAAGCACCCTGGGCAGACATCACAGAAGAACAGTCTCTTATAAGGATCTGTGGCATCCATTTTAATATAATTTTGAAAAAGCAAAGCAACCTAGACTTGTTAGTTATGCCTATTTGGTCATGTTAGTATTATAATTTTGTGGCTTTCATTTAATAATTTTTCTTATAGTGTAATCCCATTGGGATGACCATGGAATTTTAATATTGAGTATGCATTTTACTTGCAAAATTACAATTATTTGAAGATGTGTGATGCTGTGTCATCAAAATGTATGCATAATTAATATGGTATATAGTTTAAGTTGTTTGATTCTTGTGTTTTACCCCTTGGATGAAATAAAGGCAGATGGTTATTTAAAAACTATTCATAAATTACAGAAGCAAATAATACATACTGACTTTAAACAAGTAGAGCAAAAACTCCAAAAATGTGTGGACACTTATTTTCTTTGTCTCCATCTTCCATTAGTGTTAGGAAGTCCTTAGAGATCGGGACAGCATGGACTGATTTAGCTAATTATGAGCTGTGGGTATTGAGCCCCCAAGGTCACAGAGTAGTCAAGGATCAGCTGGTGCTCCAGGCTTTCAGTTTGAAGACTCCAGTCCAGTGACCTCCATATCCATGTCCCAGGCTCCAAGGCTACCTGTTTCAGGAAGCTCCTATTTGCTTTGTATTAGCTTCAACACTGTGAATAGAGCCTGAGCCTTAACTTGGCAGGAGACATATGAGTCTTTGGATCCAGTCTCCCTGACTATGACCCAACAGAGAAACAGCACCACCCCGTAAGTTCAGGAGGATCTGAATGATATGGGAAGTATCCTAGAAAGTAGTTTTTTCTGCATCATAAGGACAAATATGACAGTTTAGGTATTCAGGTAGAGAGGTAAAAATATGAAAAAAATACCAGTTATAAGGAATGGAAATGTTATGTTCATGGTTTTACTGGGGAAAGCAGAATTATTATTTAAAATTTGCTTTCTACATGCCCTATTTCTGTTTCTTATTGGTGAAAATATGCCCTTCTTCTGTGCCTCCTAAGCATGCTAAAGAGAGGTTTTATGAAGGTTTTGATAAGGATGTAGAGGGAGAGGACAGAAACTATAACATCACCAACAGGTTTTGTGGGCTTCTTGTATTCCAGTCACTGAACAGTGTGTTCTGTGTAGCTTCTTTCATTTCATGTGCTATATATCTTCCTACAGTTATAGTTAACCATATAATTAGTATTGCTTCCCATATCCCGCTCCATGTTTGCAATAGTTTCACACAGCCTCATATTGGGACAACTCAGGACATGATTTCATTTCCCCTTAGGAAATGTGAGAGTTAAAATATGATACAATATATGCCAGTGATTACAACCTATAATCTCTGCTTATATCTTTCTGTTTTGATAAAATGAAAAATGTTATTGCATTGGACAGCATATATCAAATTGATTTTTAATCCTTTCTGCTCCTCTTATTATTTTTGACACAAATATGCTATAATCCACTTAATGCCATCTATATAAAGTATGTAAAAACACAACAGAGATACCCATTGGTTGAGAAAGGGAACAAGGAGCCAGGAGCAGGTGAATGTGTACTTCTGGCTGAGATGCATTACAGAACTTTATAATATTCCAGGCTCCATTGCCTTCTGAACACACTTTACACTATTAGTAAACTTCCTTGTTTGATAATCATGTAAGTACTTTATAAAGAAAAATATCACAAATACTTAAATTCAAAATTTGTTTATTTGCCACCTTGTAAGGATGAATACTATTGTCCTTTTTTCCCTCAGGCAGTATGAGGACAGAGAGGAAAAGAGATTCACACAGATTCTGCTTATTTTAACAGAACAATGGCAGAGGACTATAATGTTCATTTCACCAGTTTCATTTCTTTTCACAAGCTCCTGCACTGGAGCAAAATGGAAATGTTGATCCCGGCATAATGATGATTTTTTGTTTGTTTGTTTGTTGTATCATGACCAGACAGACCTCAGGGAAATTTTATGACATATATCAAGAACAAAGGGATGTAAATTATAATGAGTTTTCCACTGTTTTGAGATAAGAACCTGTGAGATTTTACATACATTATTTGTTGGAAATCAGAAAGTATCCCCCATTGATATACTTTATAGAAATTTTCATACGACAAGCACAGATTCACAAGAGTTTTGAAAACATCATCTAAACAATAAACTTACTTGGGGTCTAGGGATTTACACCAGCCTTGCAAGCAGAAGGACCTAAAACCAAAAAAAAAAAAAAAAAAAAAAAAAAAAAAAAAGAAAGGATGATCTTACCTGGGCTGGGGAATTAGCATTTAGCTCAGCTGTTCCGCTCAGCTGTTCCGCCGTCTGCCTCACAGCACTTTAATCCCCAGTACCAAAAAATAAAATAGTAAACTTACAAGTTGTTAAATGAAGTTTTTAATCTCTCAGATCATGGTGGCATTAGTAAAGGAGAGTTAAAATCACATGAGTATGTAATCTACTTAGTTTACGGCCCAATACTTGCTTTAAAAAAATACTACTTAGATGAGTTTTAGGTATTCTATAGGTAAGTTTTTTAAGATAACTGCTTGTGAGTTCATAAATCAATGCTGATTCAGAAATAATGAAAGGAAAAGCTAGCCCTGAAATTGATGAAAATAGATTCCCATGAGACCAGGATAGAAAGATAATGTAATTATGGAGATATAGCAAGAATTCACATTTCTTAGGTGATTGTTCAGATCTCAAAAAATATTGGTGTAAATACTATTAAACATTTATATGGCTGTATCTGTAAAGGTGATATTAAACTGAAGATTTTCTAAGTGCTAGCATATATTGTACAACAGTAGTTCTCTACTCTATTGTAAGAGAGTAAAATGAAAACCTGAACTGCAGATGAAATTTCATGGTCTGAGCCTACAGTGTCTGAATATTAAACCTGTACCTGGGTAGATATATAACTAAATTAGAACCAAGAGTGAGTAATGCAAACTAAATAATTTTCAAAACACTTTTTGAAAGAACCTTGTAAAGTAAATCATTCCTGTTACACAAATGTGCATTACATTATTTACACACATTTACCCTATTTTATGTACGTTTTTGCTATAGATGAGTTTCCAAGTATGCTTTCATGTTTCCTCTATGTAACTGAAATAAGAGAAATGCAATGCTTATACTGGAAAAAAAGATTGATATGAAAATCTGTCAGTCACAGTTGGAAGGATAGGATTCAGCCAGGCTTCCTTTATTTCTAACATCTTTCATTGCAAACAAAGAAGTTTATGGTCAGAAAAAAACAATAAAACATATTTGCCACCATACTGTAGAATACTGAATTAGTGAAAGGAATAAAGATAAGTCAAACTAGCAAATATATTAATGTGTTTTACTATTGAAAAATCCTGTATATGTTTAAATTGTCAAATGTACTTTTTTTTTTTTGTACTGGGGATTGAACTCGGGTCCTTGTGCTTGCAAGGCAGGCCACGGAAACGCTGAGCCAAATCCCCAGCCCTGTCAAATGTACTTTTTAACATTTTTAAAAAATCACCAACAAGTATATTGTGGGCTAATTGTATAATTGTAGTTATAATGTACTAAAATTATGTTTATCTATTTTAGACTCATTTATACATGTAATAATTAACACATAAGGCTAAGACAAGGATAAGTGTTACATATTAAATTGGTGATGCACAAGAAAGGCTGAGTGAGTTATCTCATTAAAAATGGAAATTATAAAACTGAAGAAAATTTCTGAGAGGTAACTAGCTCAACGCAATGTTTTCTGATTATGATCAAATTCACTTTAATTTATTATCAGATAATACAGTCCTAGTTCTTGTAGTATTGTAGACACCTGAAGTCAAGGGATATTGTATCATTTTATGAGATTAAAGTAACTTATAGTTGAATACTTTCATTTTATTCTAATAGAATCATAATTTTAAAAGAGGGATTGTTTAAATTTCTTTTAAATCCCAACTGTGTGCATTTTACAGTGCTCACAGATTGCTGAACTCCAAAATTCTTGATCTGCTCCTAAGTATTATAAAGCAGGACTACATGGAAGTTAACCCAATAATGAAAGACTTCATGAAAGTCAAATTTGTCATAGTAGAATAATATTGGTGAAGGTTTGGACCTTCGGGTAGGGATAATATGATTGGGAATATTCAAATGTATAACATATACATAATTGTGTGTACTATTTATTGATTTCATTTTTAACGAATTTTCTTCTTAAACAGGTGTTCAAGCACTATCAAAACATATAATCTAACACAGGTCTCAGAATTCCATCTCCTGATCTTCTCAGAGGATCCAGACCTGCAGCCCATCCTCTTCTGGCTGTTCCTGTCCATGTACCTGGTCACAGTGCTTAGGAACCTGCTCATCATCCTAGCTATCAGCACTGACTCTCACCTCCACACCCCCATGTATTTCTTCCTCTTCAGCCTGTCCCTTGTCGATATCTGTTTCATCTCTACTACAGTCCCCAAGATGATTGTGGACATCCTAAGTAACAATAGAGTCATTTCCTATGAGGGATGCCTCACACAGATGTCTGTGTTTCTCATTTTTGCAAGTATGGATGACATGCTTCTGATTGTGATGGCCTATGACCGCTTTGTGGCCATCTGTAACCCCCTGCATTACACAATCATTGTAAACCCACACCGGTGTGTCTTATTGTTATTGATGTCTGTCTTTCTTAGCCTTGTGGAGTCCCAGATTCACAATTCCGTTGTTTTACAAATTACCTGCTTCAAAGATGTGAAAATTGCTAATTTCTTCTGTGATCCTTCTCAACTCCTTAGCCTTTCATGTTCTGGTCCTTTAATGAAAATGATAGTAACATATATCGTTGGTATTATCTTTGGCTTTTTTCCCATCACAGGACTCTTTTTCTCTTATTATAAAATTGTTTCCTCCATTCTAAAAATCCCATCATCTGGAGGCAGGTGCAAAGCCTTTTCTACCTGTAGTTCTCATCTGTCAGCACTTTGCTTATTTTATGGAAGTGGTATTGGAACATACCTTGGTTCAGATGTGTCCTATTCTCCCATTAAGGGCATGGTGGACTCACTGATGTACACAGTGGTCACCCCGATGCTGAATCCCTTCATCTATAGCCTGAGGAACAGGGACATCAGCAGTACACTCAAGAGACTCTACAGCTGTAGAGTTAAATCCTAAGACGTTTGTCATCCCTTTGAAATGTAGGTTTGAAAATATTGTAAAATCAAAAACCCAAAACTCACCTTTACCTGGTCATTTGATTTCAGAAGTTTGATTTTTTATTATGTTTCATATTATAATCTAGCTATTTGGGGGATGTGGAATTCATATGGATATAAGTTTTATTTTGTAAGTTGCAAAAGTTTTGGAGATGGATAGTGATATTTGCATAAAAATGTTACCAACACATGCTTGAAAATTGCAAAAATGAGACAGGTAATTTTTTTATTTTACCACAGTAAAAATATAAATAAAACACACTATTTTTTAATTTAAAGGAAGAAATTACAAAGTGAATAGTATAATTGAGATTCCTTGTACGTACCACACAATATAAAACCATTTGTGGATATTCATTTTATCTCTTTTCTTCAATTTCCACTACATTGCAGAAGTCACTAGGGATTAGGGTATCATGGACTTATTTTGGCAGTCAAGAGCTTTATACAGTGAGCCTCCAAGATCACAGTATATAGTCGGTTCCTGCTACCTTTCATTTTGATTGTTACAATCATTTTTGTACTGCTGTGTCTCCTGCAACATGTTTATCTGAAATAGGATGTCCCTACCTCATATTGTTGATGTCAGTACTTTGGGTTTATGCCGATCCTTCACTGGCCCTCTGACACACATGGAGGGTATGAGTTTATAGGTTTTGAACATAACCCAGTAGAGACAGTACTTAACTCAATACAGTAGGTCCCTGAATTAGAAACATTTTGGTTGCAAACTTCTGCAGATGTACTCTATAAGATTCATTGTGCCATATACAAATAAATCTGACTTGTGAATAGTTTCCTGGAAAGGAACTCATGTGTATGTAAGTAGAAGACTTACTTAAATTTCCAAGGGAAAGATGGATGGAAGAAGGACTGTTGGAGCCTTGTTTTTCATCATGAACACACATGAAAGTTTGCATAATGAGAAGTAATAATAGCATTGTCCACACTCTTCACCACAAGTATTTTTAGTTTTATGTAATTGAATGCGATGAGGTTCCCAAATTCTCAAAGTTTTCTTTTTGCTTCCCCACTGGTGTTGCTTCCAAGACATCTAATCCAGGAAAGTAAATTCTGGTTGTCTGCAAAGTATCTCCTTGGCTCCTAAAAAGGGAGGACATTTCTTCCTATGGTGCTGCTGAGGATGAGCATGAGGTTGGAAGTAACCAAAGCAGTGAGAGCCAATATTGAGGGATTCCTAAATGGCAACATCTGAGTTATCAGTTACATGTACTTTTTTCTTTCATTTTTAGCCACAGTTATATATGCACACCCATGTTTATAGCTGCACAGTATGTAATATCTAGTACTTGGAAACAGCCCATTTGCCCATCATTTGGAGACTGGATAATTAAGATGTGGTTTTTCTACAAAAGGGAGTACTACTCAGCCATAAAGAATGAGAAATTAGAATCATCCATAGGAAAATGGATGCATGTTGAGGATATACTCAAGATAAATAAATGAGACACACATGTGTAAATACCGAATAGATTCTGTAGTGTGAAAAACAAAAAGTGTACATAAGATCTAAATGGTATAACTGACAATGTGAAATAGGATGAAAAGGGCTAAAATTGTAGGGGAAGTGGGATGGACAGGGGAAGGGAAAGAAGGGAAAAGAAAATATATGAGAAAATAAGAAAATTGAAGCAATGTTTTTGTAAATAGGGAGGGATGGACAGTGAGGAAGGGAGGGCAGGGGCATGCTGTAAAATTGAGAACCAAGACCTGTCATACAAGATCCCAATGATAAATGTAACTGTACTGTCTACCTAAAATGTGCCAATCAACTCAATGAGAACAAAATTTTAAGAAAAATGAAAGAGTCTTCAGGAATTGGGTTTTTAACAATTGAGAATGTTCATAAATGCTTTGGACTTCAATTGCAAATAGTGTACTTGTGAATATTTCAAATAAATATATTTATTATTTTATGTGTTTCATTCTTCTAATGACATTTCTTTTTGAAATGTTGGTCAAAAAACATGAAAACACAATCTCAGAAGTTTCTCTGAATTCCATCTCCTGGGATCCTCAGAGGTCATAGACCAGATGCTTTCCTCTTTGAACTGTTCTTGTCCATGTACCTGGTCACAGTACTTGGGAATCTGCTCATCATCCTGTCATCTCTGACTCCCACCTCCACACCCCCATGTACTTCTTCCTCTCCAACCTGTCCTTCTCTGATATCTGCTTCATCTCCACCAGAGTCCCAGTGATGATTGTGGACATACTAACTCAGAGTAGAGTCATCTCCCAAGTGGGATTCCTGACACAAATGTCTTTTTACATCTTTTTTGGATGTATGTATCACATGCTTCTGACTGGGATGGGTTATTATTGGTTTGTGGCCATTAGTTACTCTCTACATTAAGCCATCATCATGAACCCTTGCTTCTCTGTCTTATTTTTGGTGCCTTTCTTAGTTAGTTTCTTGAACTCACAGATTCACAATATGATTGCCTTACAACTTACCTGCTTCAAAGATATGAGAATTGCTAATTTCTTCTGTGAGCCTTCTCAACTCCTTAACCATACTTGTTCATATCCCTTTACCAATATTATATTAATGTATTTAATTATTATATTTGGTTTCTTTACCATCTCATGGAATCTTTAGTCTTACTATAAAATTGTTTCTTCCGTTCTGAAGCTTCCATCATCTTGTGGAAGGAATAAAGGCTTCTCCACCTGTGCGTGTCATCTGTCAGTTGTTTGCTTTTTATAGGGAACTGGCATTGGAGTGCATTTTGGTTCAGCTGTATCACCATTTCCAAGGAAGTGTGTCGTGGCCTCATTGATATACACTGTGGTCACAACTGTGTTGAATCCCTTTATCTGCAGCCTGCAGAACAGGATCCTGAGTAGTGCCCTGAAGAGACTCTACAGAAGAATAGTCTGAAATTAAAACTTTGCCTTGTGACAAATTAGAGAGGGAGTTGAGAAAAGGAAAAGCAAGGATCAATATGTGAGACTATATATATATGTA